ACGCCATATTGAGTACACTGGGTATACACAGTTGTGCCATTTAGGAAGAGTTTTCACTCTTGGGAAAGCAGAACTCTGACCATGGAGTGGTTGAAGTTGGAAGGAACCTCTGGAGATCCTCTAGTCCATCCCTTAGTCCTTAGAAGTGCGTGTGTCTTGGATGCCCACAATATATCTTAAAGTCAAGATGTAAACACTTTTGTATGCATATATGTGTGTGTGTGTATGTGTATCTACATATGTGTGTATGCATGTGTGTAAAAATATATACTTTTATGTATGAAATACTACTGTTAAACATATAATTAATTACATTTTCCACTTACTCTTTATATGTCCCCGTTTCAGGATCTTCAGTCATAACATCATGCAGCCCTTCCACTGAAATATTGATGATACCACAAAATTTATCTTGAATAACACTGGAAAAGAACAGGAAGGTGAGTTAGCTAAATGAGCTAAACAGGAAATTTGCTCAGTAATTCTAGGGCACATTCACCAAATTGTTCTTTTATTATTGCTCAGCCGAGCATATTACTAAGTAACCATTCATGTTTTTCTCTTTTTTTTTTTGTAAACTATAACAGCTTAAAGCTATCAAAAATATCTAAGAAATATTTATTTAAAAAAAATATTGTCTGTCAATGTATTCCAGAAATAACATTACAGTATGCTGAAAACCTGGATGTAATTGCAAATAGAATGAAAGATTTAAAAACCTTATTAGCACAGAACTTCAAAACCAACTCGGGAAGGGATGCTGCTGCAATTAGGGAGGTCAGGGAACTGGCTCCCATTCCTAACAATCCTATGCATTTTCTCTATTTACTATTCAGTGCAAAATTTATAAGCAAACCCTCGAGAAAAGAAGAGAATGTAGAAGCAGCACATTCTTCTCTTGCTTTCTTTTTCCAGCCTTATGAGTATTTCCTCCCCTTCCACACAATTTAATGACTTCCCATGGAAGCTAAAAGACCACATTTTTACCCAGTTCTACACATATATCAGTTTACTTAACTAGAAAGGAAGGTGCAAAGTAGGATTCATCTGTTTAAACACAGGCACTTTCTGTCATTTGAAACACGAGCATATTTAAGAGGAGCTGCAAAAGGCTGGGAGGCATCACACACCTTGAGAGAAGCACCATCATGAGCTGGAGAACAGGCTGCACAGTCCCATGTAACAGCTCAAATGACACAAGACTTGACTTGCACTTGCCCTGAAAACTCAGATCCTGGGTGGGTAAGAAGGGCAGCGAACAACGATGTCCAAGACTGCCACAGAAACCCAACAACTTGTAGCTAAAGGATACATGCCTGCCTCTAAAGAATAAATGATCCCTGTAATTTGGGCAAAATTCCTTGCCATTGTGGACTTATGTGCCACATGTGGCATTAAGTGGATGGACTCCTACTCTGTGAACTACAAAAAGGTTAAGGAATACAGTAAGGAAAAAGATGTTCACCTCGGAGATGACTGCAAAAGCTTCAGTTACCAGAGGTCGGTTTAAAAGATAATGAATACGTTTGCATATTGTATTTTTGATAATAAAGTGTGCAAGCAAATATTGTTAAAATCCTTACATTTCCTTTTACCATTTATGTTTCACAACTAAATAAATTTGCAATTTTTACATTAGATACTGATGGTATCTAAATGAACTTTTGCAGATCTAACAAAATCTTATGTATACCAGAAAAACAGATGTTTTGCAGCACAGGATTCTTTATAAACAGTATAAAATTAAAAGGCTATAAAAGATTATTTTTAGATATGCTTTGATAGATCTGTGATTCCACTCAAACTACTATTTTGTTTTCAAAGGATTGTTTTTATTCCATTTTTGAAATTCAGATACAGAAAAAAGCCAGGGAATGAATCTGTATTTTCTATAGCGAAACTTGCAACTCCAAAACTCTTCATCAGTCATCAAAACTGATACATTTTTCTGTCATTTGCCTTGTTGTTGTAGTCACTGTTGTCAAATATCTATTTGCATTTTACTAATGACTTTCCCACTCAAAAAGCTTTGCTGCCTCATTCATAAAAACAAAGTATTAAATCTTGCATGGCTGAATCTCTTGGGTATTCTAAAGATAGCAAGGAAACAATCTAGAAATCATACAGAATTGCAAGGAAAATACATAGTGCCTATTTAAAAGCCTGTGGGACAAGTCCTCCGAGAGAGAGATTTCTTCACTTAAGCCAGAGATTTCTGCAAGGAGCATCTTCCACAGAAGTTCTTTTGCCTCATACTTTTTGGAACGAACTTCTAGGAAAATGCCATGAACATGGCTCATGTTTTTCCAGCATGAGAAAGGAAAGGGCTGTTCTAAAGCTCATTTCAGCAGGTGAGACAGGGAATACCACCAAGAACACACTGCCCTCAGAAGACATAAATCACGTTCTGAAAGTATCTATCATTTTAATAACAGTACAGACCAGCACAGCTGCCTGGTGCCTGTGTGGCTCCCAACCCACCCAAAGCCCTAATCCCCATGGGGATTTGATACTTGATATCGGTGGGACAAGGGCAGATGTCCAGCCCAGTGAAGGCCTTGTCGTTTTATGCCTTTAAGCATTAATTGCAACCAATATATACAGGGAATGAAGTTAAGCAGCGAAGATGTAAACCTACTGCAGGCCCAGCACCCACTAACCTTGTTCTTCCATTGCTAACACCAGCACACCGGGAAGCCTCTCAGATTAGCACTGCTTCTGCAAACTTTTCCAACTTCTTTTTTTTGGAGAGGATATTTCTACCTTTTCTATGTACACATTGAACAACACTTTGCATCTTTCTTCAATGCATACAGAAATCTACCAAGGACTCTTTTGTCTTTGAGCAGAGCAAATGCTATAGAACGCCGACCTTCAAAAATGGCATAACTATCATCCAGAGCTATCAGCAGAAATAATTCCTTCTTTTTCTCTTGCAATGGGACAAAGTTTGCTCTGACCAAGGTTCACTGGAAAGTTTATCAAGTACGGAATCATTAAATAAAACTATTTTTAGAGTGCAAGACACGCTGAGAAACAAAAGGTAACACATACTGTGCTTTGAAAGAACAAACCTAGTTAATATTCAATGTCAATATTAAGTGCATTAGGTCTTATTTTCATGGAACAAAAAGAAGCAGCCATGCATACCAATGTAATAAATTAAGAATACTGGTTTTAAAATTGAACAATTAATGCTATCTGTACCAAAATCTTAACTCGAAGTTCTGGCAAAATTTAAGCAGTTCTCTTCTCAAATACTGTCCTTTCCAGATTAGCACCAGAATAATCAAATTTAAAGTATTTTTACGCTATTTATATTTAAACTATTTTTATAATTACCCATTTTCCCTGGGTATGCAGAAAGAATTATCAATACACAGGCCCAGAATTAGAGGTTTATAACCTCCATAACCCTCTTAATTAGGATTTAAACAACTCCAGGGTCAAGTTCTGAAGCTGTAATTAACAAATCTTAACATTATCTTAAAGGTTCTTTTACACTACCTGCAAGTAAAATTTAGCTCCCCTCTAATGAAACAAACTGTAGCAAACAGTGCAGTATGTACATTAATAGTTGCACACCTTTTATTTCAATACTTGTTAGCCAAAAAATAGTGAAAGCTTTGCAAAGCAAAACAGACTCGATCACTTCTGAAGAAAATGATGGGCGGTTTTCTCATTCAAATCTGCTCAGCTACCTCACTGACCATTTTTGTAATCTTGAAGTTTTACGCAAAAGTAGCTGAAAACCCATGCTCCATAACCTAAAAGTAGCTGATGTATTATACAGTAAATTAAACTTCAGTACGATGAAGGAGCAAATTGAGACTGCAGTAAATCCAGTGCAATCAGACAACAGATAACAAGCACCACGAGAGGCACATTGCACTCGCTCCACCTCTGCAACACAGACAGGACAGTGCGGGACTGTCCTCATACCAGCAGATTAAATGATCCATCAGTCCCAGAAATGGACTTTAGAGGCACAGAACTGAATACTGGGAAAGAGTCAAACACTGGGATGTTTTGCCCCATCTGTTAGCTAGGTTCGTGGGGGAAAGAAGGCTGGAACAAGAAACACTGCGGTAGGTCTACGCATGTAGACACTGCCCTGGTCTCCATGCTGAAGCCACGAACAGCAAAGTACTTAATTTAACAACTTCTCTTAACCTAGTGAGAGCACACCTTTCAAAACACTCTTCTTTGTTTTCCTGAGTGCTAAATGGTAGTCTTAACCGATTTAACTGTAAACTAAGTTGCTTAACATTCAGTGACTGAGGTCTGTCAGATGGGCACGTCTTTAAGGAAGACACAGAATCTACAATAAGTCCTCTTCAACTAGCTGGAAGTTTTACACTGATTGAATTTCCTAGAACATATTCTGGTTAAAATTTGAGTTACTGGAAGAAAGAATCATAGAAATTCTGATTCAATAAATAAATCGACAGCACAGTAGGCATAACTGTAAACAGAAATAATATAAACAAATGCAAAGTACATAGTAAAATAATATCCATTCTTTACACAACACTCAGCTTAGTTATCTTTTAAATGAGAAAACATATTTTGACCTGACAACTGCAAATATACGTCACAAATATTTAAATACCTTCAGTATTTAATCTAAAAGTTAAATATTTGAGTAGTAAATAGAAAGTAGTCTTTTTACTGTTTATCTTGCCAAAAATGCCATCAAATTACTGCTATATAAATAACAAGATAACACTAGAGAAAAAAAATCATCAGCTCTATTACCTTAGCTAAAATATAAACCATCTTTCTTAATCCAAGGGAATGTTAGCTTTCATATTAACACCAGTTACAGTTATGGTCATAAAATCAGATGCACATTAACAAGAAAATTCACTTTTTTAATATATTCATTATACAGACTGAATACACAAATTTGTAAACCAAAATGTCACGAATGATAACAAATTTATCTTAGATTTTTTGCTTTCTCAAAAAATTGAAGGTGTTAGCTGTGAGAATGATCACCTTTTCCCCCCCTCTGAATGACTAACAGAAGCAGAATAGGAAATGCTCATTACAATAAATATGTAAAGAAGTATTCTACTCATATTCACCCCAACTTTTTAACTTCAGGATCCTGACAGAACAACCTATTTTGCTTGCTCACTTTCAGGTTAGTTATGTAATTTTTATAGATACTTAATACCAAAAAGGATGACAAAATAAAGTAGTAAACACGTAAGCACATTTCTCACTGCACATCTTTTGATATACTTGGGTTACAGATGAAAGATTCCTATAATGAGGACAGAGGATAAAAATATCTATCCATGTCAGACATCATGCTATTTTCAACAATACCATAGCCAGTTCATTTTAACTAGTGAAGGATTTTTTAGTAAATTGAATTCTTGATTTTTTTTTTTTGACATTTCAAACCGTAATACATTTAACACCAAATCAAATGACGTAAATTACAATGCTGAATGTTCAAACAGTATGACCTGTGCCTGACTCTCAGATGCTGTTCTCTTGAGCAGCCTAATTTGGTCCAATTCTGAATGTCCCACTGAGTTCTGAGTTAGAGACTGCACTGGGTCAGGTATGCTGTATCTGCCAGGCTGATAAAACCCATAATATTCTATTCTCTTTTCTCCTGCATTCTCTAACACCTTTAGCTTCTGTTTAAACTGAATAATTTTGTACGTTAGGAACAGGATTACAGCACAAGCCACGATGAAAAAGGCCAGTAGAATGTCAAAAGCCTGATTCAGCTTTTCAACTTGTTGTGCACAGAGCAGAGAAGGTTTTAATGACACAGATGTTGCATCTGAGGGAGATAAACTTTCATATTGTACAGTTGTGTTAACAGCTACAGTCTTTTCTGCCACATGTGCTGGCAATAGCGATAATGTCATAGTTGCCTGTGACGGATTTTCAGCAGTAGTTTTTTCATAAGGCAGGGGTTTAGCAGATGTTGCTGTAGCTCCTTCCCAGGAACCAACGTATCCAGCACCCACCCTGAAAAACTGCTCAGACGTGCTGTGCCTGTCTACCTTGTGCCAGGCCAGCAGCAAAGCGGTGGTGCTGTGGAGACCACCTGCAGCCCCTGCCTTCCAGGTCTCTTCTGGACTGGCAGTAGGGCTACTGCAGTTCGCAAAGGGAGCCCAGTGAAGATAACGTAAAGGTCTGCCACGCATGTGGGGAGGGCTTTGGCACTGGATTTTTGCAGAAAGAGAAGATGAGGCTAGCCATTTGTGGAAGGCAAGCATTTTGCAGCTGCAGTCCCAAGGATTGTAATTTAACTGTAAGTGGGTTAAAGACACTAAGGGTTTGAGCACTCCAGGTTGCAACTCTGTAATATTGTTGAATGCTAAACTTAATATTTTAAGTGAATGTCCCATATTTGCAAAGGTACCGTCACCAATACTGGTTATTTTATTTCTATCTAGCTGCAGATACATTAAATTATGCAACAAAGTAAAACTGCTAGAACTTATATTTTCTAAATCATTATAACTTAAGATTAACTGGCTGAGGTTGTTCAATCCAAAAAATCCATTTACAGCAATATGTTTTAGCTTTGCACCTTTTAAAGACAGATATCTGAGCTTGTTAAGTCCTTTAAATGCAAAAGGCTGTATTGATCCAATAGGATTGTGAGACAAAGAGAGTCTTTCAAGATTTTTGAGCATTCCAATGGCATTTGATGGCACGACCGTTAAGTTGTTACCTTCAAGGTACAAATGCACAAGGTATTCAAGGTGATAAAACGCTGAGTCTGATATCCGTGAAATCTTATTATTGGCTAGATTAAGTGTTTGGAGACTTAACATTCCTGAAAACGTCCCACTTCCAAGGACACTGAGACGATTCCTTTGAAGCATTAAATATCTAACAGAAAGGAGATCACTAAATAATCCTCTAGGAACAAAAGCTATTTGATTATTCTGCAGGTATAAGCAACGAAGACTGGAAAGACCTTCAAATATTCCTGGATCCAGGCGCTTAATATTATTGTTATTTAGATGCAAGTAGCACAGTTTATGGAGATCCACAAAAGCTTTCGGATGCACGTATGAAATACTGCAATTATCCATGTACAGGGCAGCAAGTTTCTGAAGGCCCGTTAATTCACTGGGAGCCACATGTAATATATTATTGCCACTGAGGTATAGCAGAACTGTACGTGGCGGGAAGCTCCGCGGGATGCTGGAAAGCCCTAAGTTACGGCAGTTAACTTGCCTCCCTGTGCAGAGCCGGCACACGGACGGGCAGCCAAGAGTCTCCTTCTGGAGCAGCAACAAAAGGAAACAGTTTAGGACATACAGGAGTGCTCCTAGGCAGGGTGGAGAACTTTGTAGTCCACACATATCCCTGTCTTTGGCCTTCTCACTCATCTCTGACTTCGCTAGTAGAGATAAAAAAAGATCAAGTTTATAAATGCATTCGAAAGTGCAAAAAATTTTACTTGTATAATCTTTAAAAAAGGCAAGAATTACTTTCCAGGCTGCTATTCTAAATAATCTCCTCTGTTGCTGAATAAGCAGTTTCAAAATAAAGCTCCAGTACCAGGAGTTAGAACAACACTAAAAAATACTTCCAAATAAATGAATAGCGGAACAGATATTCCAACCTGGCCAGAGAATATTTACCCGGTTATTGCATAAAAGCAACTATGCTGCCAAAATAATGGCATCTAGCAAATTCAACATACTGCTTATTCTAAATATTTTAAAAAGTTGAGTAGGAGACATTGCAATAACATTCAAGTAGAAACACTAATGGAAAAAAGAAAAACAAGTTTCCTGCCATTAGTGGCTCATTTCTCATTTGAATTTTACTTTTATAAAGTTCAGCTACATGCAAAAATCAATAAAAACAAATTCTTACCCCCAATTTGCTGTTCATTATTTCCGTTATTTTGCTGTTTGGTGTGGCTCACGGGGCTAAACCACAGGCTAACGTACTACCCCACTCTGTGAAATGCTTTCCAGGGCAATACTCCGGCATAGCCAAGCTCTCCCATTTTGTCCTGGGTTTTGCAAGTGCTCGCTCAGGAAACCGAGTAATAAGTGGGGAAAGCCAGGTTGCCATGGATACAGGAAATGGGGAGACAGGAAGCCATTTTATCTGTGCCTCAGAAGTATTGTTGGAGAGGAAATGTCCACTGCTTGCTTCTGGAAACCCAAGAGCTGTCCTAGTCTGCAACCACTGCTCTTTTCCTGCTTAACTAGCAGGGTTCAAAAATGTTTTGTCAGAGGGCGAGGTGTAATTATTACAGAACAGGGCGTATCTAGTTGCAACAGTACTGCTGCCTTATCTCTGAATTCTTTTTTCTTTCCGCCTGAAACCCAAATGTTTTATTCAATGACTAGCAATATTTATACGGTTCTATCTCTGCCTGCAGAGCAAGGCTGCTCCCTCCCCATGCTCTCACGCAGGAGGTCACGGATCAGCTCCATTCCTGGGCTAAGCCACAGGGCAGAGGCGATGGAGGCACTCAGTGAAGCTCTGCTTTAGGACACATGTGTCTTCAGCCTAGGTCTGCACGTGCTCTAACAATTACACCCATAGGTGCACAGCTTGAGGTTCCTTTTGTGTCTCCTGTGCAGATGAACACTTAGTGCAAACTACACACACACACTATAAATAACCCCATCACTTAAATTACAGATTACATCCTCAGGTTATCTGTCTCCTAATCTCAGAAAGAAAATGGCTAGAAACAGGATAGAAACTTAAGCCTAGGAATAGTAATGCAATTAAAAAAAAAAATCGTAATTTATAGTAGAATGAGACTACTCGCTCAGAAAGAGAGAGGATGAGAGAGCCCTTAAATAGCAGCAGACCAATAAAAGTCGCTAGGGAAGCACCAGATCACCTCGCCCACGCTGATCTCCCATAGGAAGCCAAGTTCACGCAGGGCAGACTGCCACCCAAATACCTTCCTTCGTCTACCAGAATCCAACTCAAAGGCAGGAAGCGCGGGAGCACAAGGAGCACACGCTACAAGAGGCTCTCTTCTGAATCCTGCCACAGGAACCAACGCTTCCAGGGATTCCAAAACCAGTTCGAACTGTAACATTTTGAATCCGTACAATGCACATTGTAAAAGGTGATATTGTCAACAGAAATTCTTCAGTTTTCAACTACAGGTTACCAAGAATAGAGTCGCTTGTCCTTAAACAAGAAAGTATGTTAGCTGGAAAAAGAAAAAATAAAAAAGTACTTAAACGTGAAAACTCTGAGAATTTATTTCAAATGCATCACTCTTGGAAATGACTAACCATACTTTACTTATTCACATGGTTATAGATCTTTGAATACCGCACTGAATTTTATCTTAATGTGCTCACATTATTAAAATTACTAACGTCTTTGCTTTTTAACATATTAAAGTCTGTTTCAACAATGAATGGGGAAAGATGTTATTAATTTATGAACTCAATTACTTAAAATTCCTTGTTGATATGAGGATGAAGTCTGAGCAAAAGTGATTTGCCAAGTTCAACAGAATTTTTCAAGTGACAGTTCAAAGCCACTGGAAGAACACATAAACACTGTATTAAGTAGAGTCCTTACAAGGAACCTCTATTTTTTTAAACTATGCTCAGTGACTTTTGTTAGGTTCAGGTTATGAATATTAACGAGCACAAAGAAATTGCCCAACTCAAACTTGTGTACAGCACAAAAACATGCAAAAAATCAAAACCAAGTTCTAAAGCTCTCCTTCTTCTGAATATAACAGCCAATTTTTAAAGAGGAATTTCAATCCCTTAATTACTACAAAATGATGTTAAAGCCCACACAACGGGTGAAAAACATTCTTAGCATTGCAGTTATTCTTTTAACTTGTAAGAATGAATCTGTTTCCCTCCCACTGTGTATTCTATTAAAAAGATAACATAACACGGTAAAACTAGGCAGGGACAAAGGTTAAAAATAATTAGAAAGGAATAGAGGTGTGGTTTCCTCAAGATGCACTGCCAGTATCTCAACACAGGCTTCAGAGGAAAACTACCAGACTGGCTGTTCTCCATACTCTCATCTATTGAAATGGTCATTCACAATTGTCTCCAAGTACTGTGATCCCCCAATATTTATCTACATCTTCTCTTCACTACTGTCATTTTAATAATTTAAGGAACTGAATGTCTTGCTCCTTTCTGCTTTTATATTCCACAGGTGGATTACAATGCACATTTTTTGTTTTGTTTTCAAATAGCTGCAGGGTCACCTTCCCCCAAACCATTCTCCACACAGGGCCCCAGGCCAGAACAATTCAGCCACTATTGACCACGTGGACAGCGCACACATCAACATTTAGTCTCAGCCTACCTAGCTACATCTGCTATGTTCAGCTTATTCATGTTTATTAGGCCTCAAAACCCCTTTTTTTCACCAGCACCATTATCCATATAATCTACAAATTTCCAGATTCCTCCTTTCACATTCCTGTACAAGTTCTTGATCTGCTGCTTATGGGAATTTTCTCTGTTCAGAGTGCTACCGTGCTCCAATATAGCAGCAACAGTGACTCTTATGACTACACCTATCTCAATACCAACTTAATAGGTCAACAAAACACATTCGACCTTTAAAAAGGAAATTCTACAGTGCAAAACATTCATATACATAATCCTATTATATATATTCATATACATAATACACAAAAATCTATTTCAAAATAAGCCATCTTTATATCTCTTTATTCTCAAACTTTTACTACTTTTGATTAAATTATCAAGCAGTTTTCTAAAAATACTGAGAAAAAGTGAAATTATATATATTTTAGGAAAGAAAAACGAATCTCAATCTTATTTTGCTTTGAACTCCAACAAGTAATATGACAGAAAGCATCCTGCAACTAGGAATACACTAGCATAATTATACTAGATGATACCAATGAGAAATTGTTAAATTTCTCAACTCATTGTAAACAGTCATGAAATCAATACATCACATTTGTCATGCAAATTAAAGAGAAAAAATATAACAAGTCATCTACAGAGGGACTACTAGTATGGCAAACAAGGTGTCAAAAAGGCTGGCCTGCCATGCTATCGATTAAATCAGATGTGACGTCCTGAGAAAAAAAGTATTTATAGCTGAAGCCTCTACTATTCACCAAAATACTTTGTGAATTCTGTTCAAATTAGAAAAGTGATGAAAAATGTACTCAATAGTAACACATCTTTAAAAAAAAAAAAAAAATGATATATTGCCACCTACTGCTTTTTAATAATATTGAAGATCTAGCTTCTTATACCCTGCATTCTAACTTCACAACAACAAACATGCACACAATAAAATTTAAACCCAAAGATTTAAAGAATGCGAAGTAAAATATTTTCAAAATTTCAATGGGAACAAATCAGTTCCTAGGGATTGATTCAGAACTAAGTCTAATTTCATAGCTTTCTGCAGCATACTGCCTGCATTAGCAGTTGATAGCTAAAGAAAAGGCATAACCATCAGTACATTTCCTGAAATGTTCACTGCAAAGTGAAAAGCTAAAAAGAAGCTTAGTCCATTATTTTCTTCTTTTTGTCCTTTACATAATTAAAATCTATTTTAGGGAAAATTATATTTAAAAGTTTTGGGAAAGCTTACTGAAACCCTACAGTTAAACAGGTCACAAATGAAAGTAAGGCATGGGAGACAAGTCATCCCCTTACGACCGCAGCTACTTTTGTGCAAGAGGTCAGAGCATCTGGTGACATGTCCCTGCCATCATTTGATTCATTTTTGCAAACATGGCATTATGGACAGAGAAATGACACTTTCTTCCTGATCATTCCATAAGAACAACCAGATGCAGATGACAGAGATTCTGAAAAATGGGAGTTGAAAATCTCTTTCCAACCTGCATCTCCTTGCTAATTTTATGAGGTCAACTGCACGTAGTACTGTAACTTCCTTAATTTGGAGACTTTAAGAGATACAAACTGTGATGCTAAGATTAACACCGAAACTCAGCTAAAACTACACTGTTATCTACTGGGCAAACCAAACATATCCCAAGGCCAAAGCAAAGCACTTAAAAGAGCCCATCTTAAAATGTACAGTCTAAAGATGGGCGAACCCAACTTTGACTGAAGAAACAAAAATAGAGGAAGGGAAGACACAGAAAAGGACTCAGGAGTACATTTTCTTTTCTTTATGTGGATATTAAAACCAGTTATGTAACAATTTCTTACTTTATAAGCAGCGATACGACTAAGGAAAATGACATTTTATAAAGCACTTTTCTGTCATTTCCTGCATTACATACAGATAGTTTCTTAAGACAAAAATTAAATTTCCTAGCTTAAAATAACTTTAGAGAACACCAGGGAAAAAAAACCTAACTTCTGTAATTACCTAATGAAGATTAATAATTACATACTATCTGTACTTAAACTTGCAATGTCAATTATCTAAATGACATAATTCATATGGGCTGACATATCAGACTTGACACACAGTGAGAAAAAGCAGACAGTTATTTGCATAAAGATTAAATAGGCGTACAGCAACCCAGGGAACCTCTTAGGTGCTTAACGTTTTCCCTACAATAGTTCAAGACAAGTATTTCCATGTGAAGCAAAGGGAAAAATGAACAATGGAATCTCAAAATACCCCTCAAGGGTCCCAAATTATAAAGGAAAAATAAATTGCAATGCTTCACATTTCAAGCTCAAAATGTATTCTCAAAGGGGACCAGTTTTCGGGAATCAAAATTAATGCATTTTTTTTAAAGAGTGTCTTTAATTTTGTGTTGTAAATTCTTAAAAGTAGACAAAAGCCTTCACAGCAAACTCATTAAAAAAAGCAGAAATATTTACATACAAGAAAAGAAGAACAGAAAAGCACAGTAATAGTATTAAATTCTTATTTTAGTTGAGTGATTGCCTTTGTAACTGTTAATGAAGTTTTTAACATTTTACATAGCGTCCTACCATTTTTGTATTTTCAATAAACTTCGGTATCCACATCAGTTTATGGGAAATGTTTGTTAAAAAGACCTAGCCCA